GCTGGAGAAGGGCACAGGGAATGCGGAAGACAAATAGCAAAAACCAAATATTCTTGGCTCCTGTAAAAAGCTACTCTGTTCATTTACCTGGATGCCCCAAACAGAAGCAACTGCCCATTTCTCTGTTTCAGTTTCCTGAAACTCCCTGGATCACAGACTGGCATCCATTGTCCCTGGCTCAGAGAACAATGTGAGCTAGCATAAATCCATCCATTCTGGTGCACAAACAAAGAGTTAGAAAGCATACAAGACCACAAGACTATCCATCCACACCCACTGATCCAGCACTGCACCATCTTGGGCAGACCTGCAGACAGGAGGCAGCCAGGACCTCTGCACTGCTACAGGCTCCAGCTGGCCCAGAAACACACCACACGGCATGTCGATACATGGAGCATGATGTTCAGTCTGTACCTGTCTGTCTCCTAACATCTGACACTGCTTCACAGAGTCTGCAGTCACAAAGTGGCCTGGGGTTCTCCTAGACACCTTCCAGGACACTAACAAAATGTAAAGTGCAAAGGCCAGAGCCATCACCATGAGGAGCTGAGCTCTGCTTCTGGATCCTAGCAGCCCGGACCATCCTTCCCTTGCATTTTGGGCACGCCTCAGAGGATGACAGCTGCTAACTTGGGGTGGGGGGGGGAGTGCATGGTGGAGGAGGTAAAGGATTATTTTTAAGAAAGAGCACAATCTAACTTTTCACTCCACCACCCACTCCACGCCACCTCCTCATTCCCTTGTCTTTCCTCCTGCCTGTTCTTCCACTTTATTCTTCTGCTCATCCTTGATCTCCCTGTTGCTCAGTGTGGAGCATACATGCGTGCACGCGCGCGCGCGCACACACACACACACACACACACACACACACACACACACACACTACTTTTCTCCCCCAGTATCCCCAGCTGGGACACCGGTTCTGACACCACCCTGGGAACAGAAGTCATGTAAAGACACAGGGCTGCAGAGCTCAGGGGGGCGGGATTTGAAACTTCATCCTTATAGCTCCAAGCATGTAAGGATCAAACACATACCAACTTTTTAGAAACCCTCTCTTGATGCCAGAAGTGATGGAAGGAAGAGAGAAAATGCATCTCTATTCTAAGCTAAATGAACTTGTTAATTATGACATCTTCCCAGTATGCCTAAATACTGGAAAAAATTTGGCTGATTCACTTTAAAACTGATTTTGAATGTTCCATTCTGGGCTTCTTGACAGTGGCTTTCTAAGCAGAGTTTCCTGACTTCTGTGTGCAGTGATGAACATCCATAAGTATATATGATGGATGGATGTACCCTGTGGATCAATTTCTTCCCATCACTTATAACCAACAGGCAAAACTACACACTTAGGAGTCATCTACCCAGAACAAAACACCATTTTGGAAATAGCTGAACTCATGAGGCATTTTCCAAAGTAAAACAAATAGAAGTCAGGGTGAAATTTTACATGGAAGGAGGCAAGACAGAGAGATGATGTGTTAGGACAGCCTGGATTTTCACTTAGAAGATGGGAGAGACTTAGAACACTAACAGTAATGCTTGTGTTCTCCCTAGTTAATAACCCACTCATTTCAGTATTCCTCAGTAAGCACGTATTAAATATTCTGTGGATCTGACACAGCTCTAGGAAGTCACAGGAAATGAACAAGACACACTGCACCCTTGCTTGCACTTACAGAACTTACACTCTAGCATTCACTCAAAACAAAATTATATGCTGAAGAACTAGTTATTTGAAACCCATATCATGAAGGAAACAAACAGAGGTGGAAGAGAGGGAAAAAGCCAACAGAGATAAGAACGGTGTGCCCATTCCAGGAAGCTGGGATTGCACCTGCAAAGGCTCTGGAGTCCAAAGCAGCTTGGAAGCAAGGAACTGTACCATCAGCATGATTAAAATGAAGTGGGTAAGGAGAGAATAGCACAGTGCAGGACTGGAAGGATGCTGTGTGCCAGATGCACAGTACGGACTCTGTTGTAAGGTGAACGGGAAACCATCAGCACAGGAGTGACATGTCCCAGCGCGTACTTCACCATTACCAATGCCACACTGACTGGAGAAAGACTTCCAAAGCAAAGCCAACCAGAGCAGCCACGCAGAAAAATGGACAGAGTCAGACAGAGTTTGGGTGTACAGTCAACAGAAGGCACTGCAGAACCACCCATGGAGGTAAAGGCAGAGAAACTCAGAGATGATTTTCTCCAAGGTACTATCTACCTGTGAGTTGCTTGGGTTTTTTTTTTTTTTTTTTTCCTCAAAAGATAAAATTTCTGCATGATTCTCAAGCAGCACACTAGCATCTTGTCTTCAGGATGTGACAGGTATACAGATGCAAGGAACTCAGAAGGCCTAGATGCAAAACACAGCTACCCATGAAAGACAATGATGGAACAAGAGACAGGCATCCCATAGGGGCATTTTCTCATAAAAATGCTGACACATCAGTGCCAGCCTTTCTGTATTTGGATGCACCCATGCTGAAGCAGAGAAACTGATGACCCGTGCATCAAATTGGATGACCAGAGCCAAAAGTATCATGACAAGCATGTAAAGAAGAGGTTAATAATGCCTTTGACTAAGCTATGATTCATTTGGTGTTGATATGCATGCGATCCTCAACTCAGTCCATAGTGTCACATGAACCAGGGCTGGCCTGGAAGCCCAGCTCCTCAGGACATAGGGACAGAATGATCAGAAGTTCATCTTTGGCTAAAAAGCAAACAAGCTCAAAGCCAACTTGGGCTGCAAGGGAACCTACACCCATTGAACAATTGGTCCACAGCATTGTTTACAATATTTCCAAAACCTAGCTTAAGACACAAAACAGTGTGCCTAGGGACAGACCTCTGAAGATTCACCCTCAGAACAAACTATATCACTCATTTTGAATGCCATATTCAAACCGCTCTCTCAAATGCCACAGAGAGCAACAACATTCCATGACTATCACACATTCAACTAAACCTTTCTGAGCTACCCATTCCTAATTATCTGAGTATTACTAGCACTATTTGTATTGCCTTTCCAAAAAGTTGGTACATCATTATCAACTCTAAATTATCCCTTGGCACTTTTGTTTAGAGTGTTTCTCTGTCTGTCTGTCTGTCTCTGTCTCTCTCTCTCTGTCTCTGTCTCTGTGTGTGTGTGTGTGTGTGTCTCACACTCTCCACTCTCTCTTTGTTTCTCTCCCTTTTGTATTTTCTTTATCTTATGTTACATGCCAATCACAGTTTTGCGTCCCTCCTCTCCTCCCATTCCCTCCCCCCCACCTCCCTTCACGGCCCCATCTACTCCTCCTCCATCTCCATTCAGAAAGGGGCAGGCCTCCCATGGGAGTCAACAAAGCATGGCACATCGAGTTGTGCTCGCTCTCTCTCTCTCTCTCTCTATCTATCTATCTATCTATCTCTTAATATAGACAGTGACACACTCTTGTTATTAGCTAAAGAATAAGAGATGTCTTCAAAAGAGGGAGAAAAGAGAAGGGCAAGGGACAGAGAAAGAGGGAAGGGAGGGGGGCAAAGAAGAAGAGGGAAGAGAAAAGGAACGGAGTGGGTGGGGGAGAGGGAATCTCACACGTGCTCAGTAGCAGCCCTCTTTGATGCTGGCTGGTGTCATGCCAAAGTAGACAGTAAACAGAGAGAAACAGACAGTAAAAACAGAGAAACTATTTGGAGTGGGATATTATCTTTTTCTCCAAGCTGCTAGTCATAACCCTCTTTAAATGCATTTTGAGGATTTGGCTTAAAATAGATACTATTATTTTAGGTGATATATCATGAAGAATCCCTTTAGAAAAAGTTTCCCTGACATTCCAATGAAAATAACACAGCTTTAGTCACCTGCCCTCTGTTCCCTCCTACATCTCAGACTCACTCAACTCCCTTTTTGGATTAGAAGTCCACTTCCAAATTCTTCAACACTTAATATTAACTCAGTGGTTCATCTGTGTCACTCCTCTTAAGAGTGGGACTTGTCTAGCTTCCTAAGCCACCTGCTTTGTTCCAGTGCTGAGGCTATAAAAGATTAACACCACCACCCTTCACACCCTTCTTAATTTAATGCTGTAAATTCACTTCTCAGCACCCGTGAGCTGTTCATTCTACTTTGACCTGTCATCACCTGCAATGACTGAACTTGATCTTTATCTGTGCCACCCATAATGCATTTTATTGCAGGATATGGGTTTCTGCAAGAGATGAAGAATGCACAAAGCCCTGCCAGCAGGAAAGCTGCCACTAAGCCAGTCTTCTTCGGGAATCTTCCACAACTGGCGCTCATTTCCCCTGTACAGATTCATTCCCTTTCCAGATATAAGGCTCCCCGTTTATCAAAGAGGTTCCACACTCAACAAACATAGCACAGCATAAACATACGCCTAAACCCACAACCTACTTGTCACTTGAGTCCAAGGGTGTTCTTTGATCTCCTGCTACTCCGTCTTAACATTTTATACAATGCATAAAATCTACGATGTTCGACCTTTGAAAACCGTGTCACAACATTCCTCTCTGCACTATGCAATGCCTCTCTGATACTCCTTTTTAAATCATTGACCTGGCCCACAATCCAGTTAACTGTCACCTGTGACTGTGACATTTGGAAAATGAGCATATACACACATGCACTCTCATCTTCACCTAGTGCCTCAACAGAACCTATATCTAAGCAGAATCCAACCCAAAGAACCTCTAACTGATGATTGCTGTAGTTAACTACTGCATCATCCTTGAAACTCTGCCCTAACTCACTTGTCCAGATGTACAAGTGCCATTTGTGACTACACTTGCTCACATCTCTCCTCCATCAACTCAGAGTCTTGCACATGAGCTCTCAGATCAACTTGTTGGCTCCAGGAGCATGGCTACAGGCATCACTGGTTAAACAGACCACCCCAGGATTCCTGATGCCCTCTACATTGGCCATGAGATTCTGGGAAGCATCTTGCTGAGGGTTAATGAGCCAGAGAATGGGGCTGAGACAGAATACTCACTGAGCGGCTTGAGGATGCTGCTGCTGGACTCATCGGCATTTTCCACATCAGATTTGTCTGAGTAGTTCTCAGAGATTCTTTCCTTTTCCTTCTTTTCCTTATGCCCTGCCTTTCTCTTGTGACGTCTCCTTCTCCGGTAGCTCTTGGGCACATGGACCCCGATGTAGATGGTGTGGTGGCCTATGGAAAAGTAGACAAGTCAACAGTCATTTCAACTCATGATATCTCTACATTAAATCACAAAAGAACCACATGCCAGCTATGTCTATGAGCATGGTGTCATCACTCAGTATTTGGTTAACTCAAAGAACTGAATTCTTGAAACATAGAATTCCTTTTCAAATTTCACTCGGCTATGGTATAATTCCACCCAGTGGCTGGTGTTTGGTTCTTGCCCACAGGCATAGGGTATATAGGCCATAGGTTTAAGAAAATCAAAGAATATTAAACTAGAAACCGAGAATTATTGATTCTCTTCACATATCTGCCATCTGGTATCTATGTCACCTTATCTGAACTTCTTTTGTTTGGTTGGTTTGTGGTTTTGTTTATTGAGACGGGGTCCCATGTAGCCTTGGCTGACCTTAACTTGATAAGGAACAGAGGATGACCTTGAACTTCTGGACCTACTGCCTCCATCTCCCAAATTCTGGGATTTCAGGTGTGCACCATCATGCCCAGTTTATTCTCTGCTAGAATCCAGGCTTTGCATATGCTTGACAAATACCCTGCCAATGAGCTAAATTACTGGCCCCTTAACTCTTGCAGCCTCAGCCTCATCCTTTTATACCAAGAGGGGCTTACATTGGGTAACCCCTAGAGGTCTGCTCTGCCCTAGTTTCTCATGACCTGTGGTTATGTTGACTAGAATGAAGAGAAAGAAGCTGCTGAGTTGCAAAAATAAAGATCAAAAAAGTTCAAGAAGTCATTCTACTGGGGATAAGGTTTTACACAGTAACTTTTTCTATTTTTTCATCCAATCAGCAGCAGAACAGAGACTGAGAACTGGGACAAACTGAGAAAAATAAGCCATACTTAGAGAGAAGATTTTAGAAGAGCTCAAATGTTCACACTAGGAAACGCTAAAACGAATGTCAGCCAGTGCCGTTCTCATTCTCTTTTTTTTTTTTTTTTTTTTTCCTTCATTTCCAGAAGTTTCTAAAAACTGGTTGTTGGGATGGTAAAAATAAGACTCACCCCAGCAAAAACTGCCCTGAAGAGAAGGGCACGAGAAAAACAGACCTGACTGCTTCCAGGCCTCCAGAGGGAAGGTACTTCCACACTGACGAGCAGTATCATCTTCCCAAATCTGATAAGATGGAAAAGGAACTTAAAGTTCCACATCTCTGTTTTTTAATTGAAAAACTTTTGACTTTCACTTCATGTATAATAACTTTTGAGTGTGGGAACCACCATTCCAGAAGCAATTTGAACACTCTTTTTATTGCAAATTAGATTAGGTTACTCATCTAAGTGTCTCATTTCCCATTTCTGGAATTATTCTTTCATGGTACTTCACAGTTCCAGAGATAATATCACATACCACCATGTAACTCAGCTCCTGAGATCAATGGCTGTGAACTACTTTCCATGGAACTCACCAGACACCCCTAAAAACACCATAATTCATGAGATTTTCTTTTAGCTGACAGCTTAAATGAATCATGCACTGCTTCAAGAAAAAGACTCCAACTATGGGAAAAAGAACTCTCGGGGGTCGTATGTCACAGAAAACTCCTGATGCTTGAAAAAAAGCATCTTCACCCACAGCAGAACTCCTCCCCACAACATGCAAAAACAGCAACTTGTTACTACAAGGCACAATGAACAACCTCCCCACAGAACGCGTGCCAATGAGAAATCTATCATGTCTAACCATTTGCAAGTGAATTGTTCTCATGGGAAAGCTATATTATACTAGGAAATAGGAAATGTCTTAGAAACAATGGGAATTAAGAAACAGTGTCAATTGTTTCCTGTGTTTCCCTTACTAAGGGAGTCCCTGTAGGTTTATCTCAAGTCTCAACAATACAAGATAAGCCATACGGAAATGCCTCACATCACACCACACACACACACACACACACACACACACACATGCATACACCACACACACACTACCCACACTTGCATGCACACACATTACACACACATACACACATCACACACACATACACACCACACATACACATGCATGCACACACACTACACACACACACCATACACATGCACACACCACACACACATGCACACAGACATATGACACACACACCTCACACACTACACATAAATACATACCACACACACATGCAAGCACACACACCACACACACACATACACTACATACACATACCACACACATACCACACACACACACACACACACACACTACACACACAGAGAGGAGTTCAAAATTCTAAAATGTCACAGTAAATGTATTCTGCACATTATTAAATAATAGTCACAAAAAATGGTAATTAAGGTATGTTAGCCATGCCAAAATGATGCAATAAGATTTACTATAGGAACTCAAGTGTGTGTAGTATATTTGATCAAATCATTTAAAAGATAAGACTATATGGGCTGACAGGATTTAACAGTAAGATTTCCGACTATAAAGTATTGTTTTCAGACTAATGAAAAAGTTACAGTGCTTCAGACTGACAGCCTTCAAGCTCTGCAGAGAGATATACGTTTGTTTGAGAACCTACTTAGATTTATCATGACCATAAACATGAAACCATTCTTCTTGTTTGGTGACTGCAGCACTGTCCCTGTGGCACATCCAGCCTGCATCCCTCAATCCTCCCTACCCTTCTCTGCTCTGCTCATGGGTAAGGAAGCCTTCAGATCTGATGCTGCATTTCAGAGTCCTGCAGCATCCCTCTGACCAAGAGGAAATGGGGGTTCCTTTAGCAACACCATAAACATCAGGCATTTTTATTAGTTTATCAAGGTGTAATTTGCAAACTGTAAAACTCACTCTTCTTAAGACTATAATTCCATGATTTTATGTAGAGTTGCACAAACATTGCCATCATCCAATTTTAGAACCATTCTACCAATCTACAGAGATCTCTCAGGGTCATCTGCAGCCACACTCAGTTCCCTATACCACTACATACACCCACTCTTCAGCATTCTGTAAACTCTTGACACTAGCATCTATGCATCCATGATCCTCTTGTATTCACATGGTATGAACCTTGTGAGGATCCTTACATGGTAAAATAGAATATTCCCAGGGAGGAAGATGCTGCCTCCCAAGAAATGCCCAAGGAATCAAGCCCCTAAACTGAGCTCAGCATTCTCCTACTCCTACTCCTCTTCCTCCTCCCACATCTTACAGAAACCTAAATCTTCCCCTTTGCTCTTGTGTTTACATAAAGAAAAGAAATGTGACTCTGGTTAAGGAGCATCAATGGGATCTTGGAGACAGTGCTTGCTACTTCATTGATTATTTATAGTCTCTCTTTACTTGAACATCACTGCCCACGAAAGGAAGCAAACAAGAGAGTCTTGCGTTGAAGGACCTGGTGAGATGGACATGCTTTCACACAAGGAAGATCAAATATTTAATAAACTATATTGCCAAATCCCCAAAACTAGTATGAGCTGAGATAGAAGTGTTCTCACTGCCCCCACAAAACTCCTGTCTGCATGATGAACAGAAATGGAATTATTGCTAGAAAGTCTATTGTTTGTGAGAACATTAAAGGTGGATATCGGTATTTATTTTCATTAAAATATCTTTATATGTCTCAGAGATATGTCATGACGATTGACGTAAGCTCTTAGGGAAGCTACAAAGGTGGAGGGTGTAGCTATTGTTCTACATGTAAAAAAGAAAAGGAGGAACTTGTCAGAGAAGCTTTCCAATCCAAGAGTCTACAAAATAGTACAATTCTTGAAAAAAAAAAAACACAGATCATTACTAATTTGTTATAAGAAAATTTTGAGGCTCTGAAAACTTCGCTGCCACCAATTTTATAAAAATTGCTTCAAAGAATGATGGGGAAATAAAGGATAAAACTTTTAAATTTTGTTTTCATTTTAATGTAAAGCCTTAATTCAGAAAGGTACAATTATTAAATATATTAAAACCAAGCATGCATTTATTATTTTAGTCAGATCAATAAAGTAAAAACCCTGGTGCCTACATTTGACAGTGTTCCTTTAGGTGGATAGTCATAGGGCATCGTGTCTACAATCTGCCAGGAGCCTCAGCATCATGTGTTCAAATAAATACCCTACATGCCTCTCTCTGACAGATGGTGGGAGTTCCCAGCACATTCCAAGTGTCTCGGGAATACTTCACAATCCACTCTACAGCCAGGACTTCTGGGAAGAAAACACAGCTCTGCTGGCTACCTCTAAATGTCAAAATTGTCACTACAGGTCTTGTTTCTTCCCATCTTTACCTGTTCTACCCTAGTTACAAACAGGAAGCACTGTATGGCAGTCACCCCCAGGTCTCCCAATTCCTGAGAAATGGCTTGCCTAACTGTAAACTTCTGATGATTGCTACAATGCTTTCAGGGCAGACAATCAACCCTTACACTTAGTAACTCTGTAGCCATTCAAGTTAAGATGGCTTTCACAGATACTACTTTGCTAGGATGATTCAGAAGTTGGAAGAATCAAACAATCTCTCAAGCCAGAAATTAAAAATTCACCAGCCAAATTTAAATTTCTATGGATGACTTGACAGTTAACAACCTATATGTCCCTATGCAGCATGGGAGGATTAGCTCCTGCCTGGGAAATGTGGTTCAGTGTATTATGTACAGATGTAACAAACATCTGCCAAACCCTTTTAGCATGTTCATCACTGCTGTACATTTCTCTGGCACTTTATGTGACCCTGCTACTAATCTCAGATACAGGTGAAGAAACCAAGTTTGAGGAATCAGCAAGGCTGAAACCAATAAGCAAATGTCCTCTTCAGGAAATCCCACACAAGTATTTCCCAGGCATCAGTGTCAGCATGAGGTGAGTGCTAGCTTTGATAGGATTTCTAAAAATATTCCTTCACAGTGTTGAGAAGGTGCCTTGCTGGGTATGGCATGGCTACATGCGCCTATAACCACCCACTAAGGGGTAGCAGGACCAACGGAAACAGGATCGTGGTGACTGCTGGTCAGCCAGCCTAGCTCAAAACTGGCAAACCCCAGGTTCAG